TATATATATATATATATATATATATATATATATATATATATATATATATATATATATATATATATATATATATATATATATATATTTATATATATATATATATATATATATATATGTATATATATATATATATATATATATATATGTATATATAAATTATTACAATTGTTGGTTTTTATTGATATATATAATCTAAATATTAACTATATTAAATATTAATATCATCAATATTTTGAAACATTGCAGAGCTCTTTTAATGTTTAATTATTATCCAAAGCAATGTGTCTGTGTTTGTGCTGCTTCATGTGCTTTAGGAGGACATGTTTGTAAAATGACATGTGTATGTCCTAGGTATTACAATACCTCGTGTCCTCATAATTAAAATACTTAAAAATCAGACTAAACAGGTTAATCACACTCAATCATGCTGCACACTCAAATTTTGACAGATTTCCTGTGCGGGTTGGGTTCAGGAGTAGGAGTAGAGTTATTGCAAGGCAATATAACAACAGTATAAAATACATTATAGCTATAGAGAACACTCATAAACTCAATATTGTAATACATTTTGTTTTTGTGTATATATATATATATATATATATATATATATATATATATATATATATATATATATATATATATATATATATATATATATATATATATATATATATATATATATATATATATATATATATATATATATATATATATATATATATATATATATATATATATATATATATATATATATATATATATATATATATATATATATATATATATATATATATATATATATATATATATATATATATATATATATATATATATATATATATATATATATATATATATATATATATATATATATATATATATATATATATATATATATATATATATATATATATATATATATATATATATATATATATATATATATATATATATATATATATATATATATATATATATATATATATATATATATATATATATATATATATATATATATATATATATATATATATATATATATATATATATATATATATATATATATATATA